TGATTCCTTTACATTTGTGAGGCCTGTTTGATTCCAAGCCTTCAGAAGTCACCAGGAGTGTAATGGAGAGGGGTTGGATCCCTTACATGGGCTAAGTTATCTCCACTTTGTGAGACTGTTTCTGAAAGCAAGCTAATGGCTGAGCAAACCACATTAGACAAATAGTTGATGACATATAGGCAGAGCTAGATACAGATCTGATCCAAACGTCTCATTGGCAATCCCCTGCAGGCTTTTACTCACCCCTGCTTTTGCTGAGATAAGACATTTATTTCAGACATTTATATTGTTTCTTTCCTCGCTCTGTGGTTTATTTTGCAGAGAGCAAGTTTTCCTGTGCACAGTCCTTGGCTGACCCCACTCTGCAGTGGGTGAGCATCCCGTTGTTTTTAACCCCACTGCCCTTTATAGGTGGGAGCATGAGGCTAATGCCAGCCTTCATCCATGAGACCCTCAAACTCCTCTCCTTCTGTGCTCATTAGAGAGAGGCAGATGCCACCAAAGGTGGCAACTCTGGGTGGCACAACTGCCTCCAGGATTGCCCTCCCTTTGGAGACAACAAGCTTCATCACATAGCTCTCTATTTTTTGTGTTTTTCACAGAGGTGGTGGCAATTTATTCCTCTGTGAAGGAGGCAGATTAGATGACTAAAGTATCTTATCTATATTCTTGTTTCGCTTGGCATACCTGTGCATGCTGCCATCCAATTTGAGGAAGGATTCAGAGGATGAATTTGTGAAACCTGGGCACGTGCATGTAGCGTGAGAGTGGCCACTGCTTCTGGACAAGTCATTTTGTATTCAAGGATGCTGAGGCACTAAAGCTGCCAAATGGCATTTGGAAATACAGACGCTGAGTTTGGTTCAATGGGACCGAGGTGCCAATGAGAGGAGGGGGCTCAGGGTGAGGTGTGGGCTGCAGTTACAGCATGCCACCTCCGAGGGCGGCACAGCCAAGGGCAGTGGCATAGGTCAGCTCTGTGTTCCTCAGAAGGCTGCACTCCTGGGGCTGCAGCACAGGATGTGGGAGGAGAGGATGTCCTATTCCTCTTTGTTCCACAGTCTGACAGTCTGGAAGGAAATTAAATCCGCACAGTAAAAAGCTGAGAAAATGAAGGCGAAGACACCCAAAAAGCAACTGCAAAAATGATCTTCTGCTGCTTATTAGTTAGCGAGGCAAGAGCTTTGGGGGAAGGCAGGAGGTGGGGCTGGCTGCACTGACTGCCCTTCTGTGTTTTTCCCTTCCTGGAGATGCTGGCTCCAACGCACCATGCCGCCCGGCACAGTCGCTCTGATGTGCTGCAGGGATGGCTGTGCCATCCCCTCTCTTTGCACGGTGACGCTGCCCTCACCACATGCATGCGGAAACTGTGTGCAGATTTTGGGCTGGTACCCTTGGGTGCTGCGACAGCACCGTCTTGCTCTCTGCTTGCTGCAGTTATCTCAGAAACCCCCGTCCTTCTCTCACCCAGCTCCTCGGCGAGCTGAGGCTGCGCAGCCTTCCCTACGTCAGCATGGAAGCCCGGAATCCCCAGCACGGAGCTGCTGCGGCTTTGCCCCCGTTTTAGCAGAACACAGCAGCGGGGAACCTCCGGTGCATCACTCTGCAGACTGACGGCACGGCTTCGGGAGCCCCGGCTGGGAAACGTGACCTTGTTTGGCACATCCAGAGCCAAAATGCAACCGGACGAGTCGGTTATAATACGGGTGAGATTCTTAAATAAGCAGCACTCGATGAGCGCATCAAGATGTTTAGTAAGAGCCTTCATAGTCGTTCCCACCCCCGCCCCTGAGCCCCCCTGCAAGCGCTCGAGGCAGCGCTGCCATCCACAGCCGGGAGGAGAGAGGCGCAGTGATTTGTATTCCGGCTCTGCCTCTGCTCCCAGAGCAGAAGCGAGTAAAAATAGCACTCAGTCATTTGGTAAATAATAACCATCTCCTCATGGGCCCGGGGAGCCGTGAGCACTTAAAGGGGGGAGTGCGGGGAGGGGGATGCCTGCCTCTGCCTGGCTGTGTGCAGAGAAACCAGGGCTGGGAGGGGATGGGCGACTGGTTGCTGTGGAATGGGAACCCCGAAGCACTGCTTTACACTGCATATGAAAGGGAGGCAGCCCACCCTGCTGGCATGGGGTGGCAGAATCCAGCCCTCCGCATAATGCTAATAGAGGGTTTGTTGCCTGCACGGGGGAAGTAGCAAATTCCTGAAGAAAGAAAGGAGCGGCTTTAAGGAGCAGGCAGGTGTAGGGAGTGCCATGGTAACGCTGTGAGAAAGGATGCTGCAGCATTTGTTTTACATTTGCATTGCAGATCTGCCCAGCAGTGGAATGTGAGCAGTAGAAGCAAAGCGTTACCCACAGGGAGGGACTTTGTGCCTGGGAGAGAAGGGGCAGTGCTGATGGGTCGACTGTTGGTCTAGATGACCTTAGTGGTCTTTTCCAACCTTATTGATTCTATGGTTCTAAATGGCTCAGGAGCAGGATATGCCACTTGGCTGACTTAACTCTGCCCGTGTTCAACAATGCTGAGCCCAAAAATCTCTTACTCTTCTAGTCCCATTGCTGTTTCTAGGTGCTGTCTTCTATTCCCAGTCCTCAGGTGGCAGCAGATGGGAACACAATGCTCCTACATGTTCTGCAACAGGTCTGGGGATAATGCCTAACTCTCTGCTTAGTTATCATATCTGTTGGCAAGGCAGCTGGCTGCAGGCTGGGAAGGAATTGGTGTGTCCCTGCTGTACCTCTGAAACCAGGGCAGGCAGTTCTGCTGTAATGCTGCCTGGGTGTGTACAGATCCTTCTTGCTGGGGATGCAGGAGCAAGGAGGTATCACTGTCATACAGCTGTGAGCTGTGCAGGCACCCTCAGATTTCAGCCTCATACAGGTAGCAAATCTCAGGGGCTCAAACTGCTCTGCTGGTGTTTTCATCATCGCAGGATTCTCCTGCTCTGCTAAAATCCCTGCTTGCTCAGGAATGGTTCAATTTTAGAAATCCCTTTGGATCCTGGCCAGTTCCTGCCCTGCCTTGATGCACTTATTAATGGAAAGGTTCAGTCTGGTTTTTGCCACGAGGGGTGCAGGGTGCCCAATTTCCTCAATTTTCTGGGGCAGATCAATAACCCAGTGTCTGAGCCCAGAACCCCAGCATGTGCCAATGATGGAGCTGCCCTGCAATATGCAGAGCTCCCACCAGGCTCACCTGGCTGCTGCATTGCATGGCCAGCCGTGGAGCTACTCTGAGATGTACAGCTGCAAATTATTTATGGTGAGCAAGCTAAACACCAGGAAAAGAGGAGGGGAGGGAGAAATACTGTGTTTTCTCTCAAGTATAATGAGTTTTCTCTCACAGCATACGTTGAAAAGCCTCGCTTCACTGGAGGTTTCTTCTCTGCTACGTGTCTCATTTGGGGACTAGCTTGGAGGAAGGTGGAGAGAATTTCCCGAGTATTTAAGTCTTACAGAGCTCACTTTGCTCAGGATGCTGTCTCATTTGCTTCTGGGTGTTTCAGAAAGATATGTATTGCATACATATTTCTCTTTAACCTTCTTTTCATCACATCCAGACAAGATCAAGGGTTACTTATATAGCACAATAATACCAGCCACAGGCTGTGTCAGATGCTCGCCAGCCATAATAACTAAAGACATGTATATGTATAGTTGAGCCATTAAGGAGAAAACCCTGACAGAATGCATTATCTTATTTTTGGATACGAAACTTTGAAGCACAAAGCTAAGCTTCATAATACAGCAAAATAACTGTCAGAGGATGGAAGGATTTCCATAGCTGAGCTGAGCAATGGGCCATCCAGGCTACCTTCAAAGCTGTTGCAGTAGCCACAATGGGACACTACAGATAAATATATATAATAAAGCTCTTACTTGTGGTTCTAAATTGATTCTTCCATTGGGAAAGTAGCTCCCAGCCAGCACTGTACAAAAGGAGCACAACTGCATGATCTATCCATAAAGCAGAAAGGATTTATGTTAGCATAGTGCTGAACTCATCTCATTCATCATTTTCCAGTATAACCCAGTGGGCAGAGAGCATAGCGATGTGAATCTAGAATGTCACCCACTTGCTGTGCCTTGTTTTCCCTGCAAAATGGGACAGCAGCAGAGATTTGATTTAGCAAACAAGCCAAGATTGCAATGAAGGCAGTCAAAATGAGAGCAATGTGTGTGCTGCTTGGAGTGAACGATGCCTGCTGTTGGCCCTGTTCTGGGCAGCACTTCAGTTCTTCTTGACCTGAAGGCACATGAGTAACGCTGCCCCAAGTCTTGCTGCTCCAAGAATGAACTGAGGCAATGGGCAGTGTCTGGAGCTCAGCATCCACGAGGGCAGCACACTGGGGTGCAGCTGTTTGTGTGATGCATGGGGACAGCAGCTTTGCAGGAGCAGTTGCTCATCAGGAGAACAGCAAGCATGGTGTGAGAAAAAAGGCAATCCGAATATTGATTCTTTTTATATACAGACAAGCCTGAAGCTGTAACAAAACCCAGGTTTCCTAAAACTGGTAGAACATTCCTCGGCTGTTTATCAGGCTGGGAGGCACAAAGGCATTGCAGATTAAAAGGCATTTCAGCACATACCTCTATATTGAAAATGGATCTGTACTGTGTTGTGTATTGAGTAGCTGCCTGCATTTCGTAAACACACAGCATCAGGCTGTGTGGGACAAACTCATCTTGGTGTAACTGGAGAGCAGCGGAGCTGCTTAGAGATGGTTTTGCTCAATTGCAACTAATAAAGGCAGCAATTGTGCTGGATGCAGTAGGGACTGTGGTGCCAGTTCACCAAGGGCTTTGCCAGGGTGGCATCTGCCATGAAAACACACCACACCAAAACCCAATCTCCTTCTTGGACAATGAACTCTATAATATAATTGCTTTTTCCTCTTTCTTTCTTTGTGTTTTTTGTTTTTTTTTGGTTTGTTTTTTTTTTTTGTTGTTGTTTGTTTGTTTGTTTTTTTTTGTTTTATTTTTTTTGTTTGTTTTTTTCCAGACAGTGTAACTGAAGTCAAGACAGATATTTATGTGACAAGTTTTGGCCCCGTCTCAGACACAGACATGGTAAGTGCCACTGGGAAGCTGCCTGACAGGGGAGGGTTGCTTGGTCCTGGGAGAAGGGAGGACACTCAGACCTGGCCTTTGTGGATGACAGTGCCAGGGGAGGATGGATTCCTCCAACAAACAGTCCCCAGTGCTTGAACCAGAAAGGAGGCAAAGCAGAAAAAAGAAAAAGAGTGAACTGACTGCAGTATTTTGACATGTTCAGGGAAAATTATTAATGAAAAGGCCTGAGGTCTGAATCTAGGCTTGTATTCCCACATCAGTTTGTCTTCTAATTAAAGCAGGACGGTGGAGCATAATTAATAGTGAGCTTTCTCAACAGCGCTTCTTGCAGCCTGGGCTCCATGTGCGCCCCGCTGCACAGGAGCTGCCTGGCCATGGCTGCTCAGCATTTCAGGCTGCCACGTGAGGGCATCCCATAAGGCTGGGACCCTTCTGCAGATGGGATCTGACTACTGGGTCCAGATGATGGGAAGTGCTGGGCTTGGAGAGAGTCGTTGCCTTCTCCAGTTGGGCCAAGCAATGTCCTCCAGCCTCTTGTAGCCCCTCCAAAGAGGGGAAAGTTTAATTTTCTGTGCTCACATGGTTGTGAGCATTTCTTTGGTTGCCTCACCAACAGTCTGGTGGAGAACTAAGTCTCTCTGCAGTGCTAGCTCCACCACACAGCCCCATGTGGCTTTGAAAAGATCAATTCTTCTGGGGTGAAAAGTTAACTTAATGTTGAGTATGAATCTCATCTGAGTTCTCTCCATTTCTCTCACTATCCTGCTGCAGCAGACCCATAATACATTCAGCAATCTTAGCCTGTGGGGAGTATCTGATAATTACTTCCAAGGTGGAGCATATTTGATTAAGGGAGCGTGTATAATGAACTGTGAAGAAGAAATCTGAGGTATTGAAAAGAGGAAGGTATTCTCCGTGATGCGATTCGACAAAATGAATTTAAAATTAGAGAGACAGTTAAAGAATAATAAATTATTTCCCCTGCGCATGCTTTGGTTCCGTGTATTTTACAAACGCGTGGCGAATGTGTTTGAGCGTGCCGTTCTGGTGTTAAATGCTCTCAGGGATGTGTGAGAAAAACCCCATCTCCCCTGGAAGCGTGGGGAGAGCCCCTTCCTCCGCAGGGGTTCCTTTCATCTCAGGAGCAGGGAAGTCCCTCCCTCCCAGCTCACTCTGCCCGATGAGCTGGCTCCGTCCCTCCCACAGCCATTACTCACCGCGATGGAAAGCTGCTCTTGTGCATCGTGATGCAGACACAGACTGTAATTATGATGATGGAGGAGAGGCAGGTAGAGCTGCTGTGCAGCGCGGAGGACAGCAGCTGGTAACGAAAAGCGGAGGAGGACGTGTGTGCCTTCTCCAGGAGATGCTCTGAGGGACTTCTTGTCTCATTTTCAATTTGGTTGGGAAAGAAGAGGCTGATGGGACCTGACATACACCCAAATCTTCAGTTGTGGCCTCCTGCAGCTTGGCCTTAGTCCCTGGGAAATTTGGGAAAAAGAAAAGTAATTTCATGCTTTGGATGGAATCAGGAGAAGGACTCAGTCGTCATGTGCTCAGTTACTTCTATAAGGCAGAGAAGAACATACTGTAGAAGCTAGTGTGTTCCTTGGAAGAAATGACCTGGAAATGATGCTCTTGTGGAAAGAAGGGAAAGAATATCTACATGGTATCTCTTTTCTTTGGGAGTGTTTCCTTAGCTTTAATAGGGATGAAGGTTTCTAAATAAGATAGGTTTTATCCCAATAAGTACTTTACCAGACCTACCTCCTATGTCTGGATACAGACTCATTCATTTGGACTAATGACTTTACTGAACTTAGGACCACTAAGAGCGGGTCATCGTCTGTGGAGGGGCAAAATATCCCCTATGAGTAAGAGCCATGGGACCAAAGGGTTCACTCTTTCTCTCTTCATATTTGAACAGAACAGCTCTGTAGCCAAGGAGCGAGGCTGAATTTCTTTACTGAGATGCTTTTGCTTAGCTTCCATCTGCTGCAAAACCTGTAGGTATTTCTGTGACCTATAAGAAAGTGACGTGCAGCAGCTTTTAAATGCTGCTGAGAAGAGCTGCAGGAAAGAAATCACTCACAATGATAAGTTTAGTTGGTTTTGCAGCCTCCAGGAGCCCATAAATAAAGTCTATAAAACTGCAGTGGCAGGGGAAGAACAGCTGGGACAGATTTTCCAAAGGCCCCTTCTCTCTCTGAAAACCTTGGGAACTAATGGGATCCTTTGTTAGCAGGACGAGGCGGGTGTCACAGAGGTGAGCGGTGCAGCAGCTCATGCTGATAGAATCAGGCAGTTCCCTTGAGTGATACAAGCCCAGAAAGGGCACGACTCAGGGCGTGGCTCAGAGGAATGGCAGCCCATGTGCAAGTGCCACATACTACAGTCATTTTGCCTTGGGGTCACCACGGAGCTGTAGGGTTTCTGATGCTCTGGTCTGACTTGTGGCTGTCTGACAGGCTTGTAGATGACCAACGGTCCCCCAGCTTGTATCACTGACTGTGAAGTATTAGAAGTGTTGACAGAAAAGGGTAAGACTCACTTTTCTATCCTTTCTCCACAAAGGAATACACCATTGATGTCTTTTTCCGGCAATCCTGGAGAGACGAGAGGCTGAAGTTCGATGGTCCCATGAAGATCCTTCCTCTGAACAACCTGCTGGCAAGCAAGATCTGGACTCCTGATACCTTCTTCCACAATGGGAAGAAATCTGTTGCCCACAACATGACAACACCCAACAAGCTGCTGCGCCTGGTGGATAACGGCACGCTCCTGTACACGATGAGGTGAGTTCATGGCTCTGGGCCAGGGTATTTCAGGTACGTATTTCAGGTACACATGCAAGCTATTACGGGACCAAAGGGTATGTAACAACTGTGTGGACTCCTACTGGCTGTTAGCATAGCAAAGCTGCTATCCCTTCTATCCTTATTTCTTAGCTTTGTAGCGCCACTGGTCCTCCAGCACATTTGTGCAAGTAGCTTTTTTCTCATCATTCAAGTAGACTTTTTTCTTTTCTGTGATGAGGTGAAAGTATTTAATTCTATAGCTTGAGGAATTTCTTTGCCGCTGTGGTTATTTTTGTTCCTGATCTCTGATGGGATATGAAGTCAGGATTTTGGTAATGGTAGGAAACATTAGGAGGAGAGAATTAGATATTCTCCAGCAGCTTGAGAACAGATTTGAATTTGTTCAGCATATTACCCCAGAGCCCTGTGGGGTTTGCTTGTGAGAACAGGGGTTTTCTTCCTACTTCGCAGAATCCAAAATCCCAACCTGTCTAGTCAGTGATCATCTCTAGGAAAAAATCACCAGCTTTTAAAAAATGGTCTCCTGCAGAAGTCGCAGTCACAGGGCAGCCAAGTGCAGCATGAGTCCACAGACTGCCTCATTCTGCTGTGAGCTCCAGCAGTGGGGCCTTCCTTCCGCAAATGGGGGGTTGCTGGGAACCATGCTCGGCATCCCTCAAGAACAGGTCTGGTACGTACACTTATCACAGACTGCGACAGGAGGTTGGGTTAAGTATGTGTTCATTCTTGTTGAGAGGTTCCTGTATGCTTGATAGCTATTCACCCATGTAAGTAATGTTTGCCACCTTGGAATGATGTGCTAATCCACTTTCCAAGGTAAATAGATCTGTAAGTGAAGCAGCAAGCTACTCATAGTTGCACAAAAATGGTACTGAGGCATTTACAGAAAGGTGTACATTTTTGTCTTAAAAAATTATTTTCTCTGCCTCCACCTTCAAGCCAATCCAGTCTAGTAACATGCTTATCTGTGGGTTTGGTTGGCTGAGATGCTGTACTTTGACCTCTGCTTTTAAGAACCAGATAGGATTTCATCTCTTCATAGCTGCACTGGCTGCTGATCTACAATGTCAGCAAGTTTTACAGCCTACATTGATAAACAATGCTCTGCTTTTGTGCAGCAGCTCTCAGATATGAGCTAATCCCACCAGTGCCCTGGGGGTTTGGGTCTCTGAACATCAGGGATCTCATGTTACCGAGGCAGATGGGGTAAATGAAGAGAGAAGCCCAATTTGACTTGAGGGCTCAGTTCTGTTCTTGGCTGTCTGACCTGCATGTGGATGACTAACACTCCCCCAGTTTGTATCACTGTCTGACTGTACAGTATTAGAGGAGCTACTGGCATAAGGCAGAAAAAAGACCCAATTTCAGGGTTTTTATATCACTTCACTTGTTCTTTATTCAGCAAACAACCATTACCTTCAGTAAGTTTTGTGTGACAGAGAAAGTATTGAATTTGCTCTTCCGTTTGCGGCTGGGCAGATGCCAGCATCACGAGGCTTTTGGGAATGAGCTTCTTGAAGGAAGCGGAGTCACAGGGGCTTTTAAGTAAATTCAGCACATTCTTCAGCTTAGTCCATTCTCATGGAAGGAGGGATGATGAAGGAAGTGTCACCTCTGTGTCTGCTCTTGTCCATCTTAAGTATACATCTGTGCAAGGTGAAGACCCCACTCAGGTGAGGACCAGATATCTTATCACACACTGTATTGCCCATCACTGAGAACCATAGTGCATGTGGACCTCCTGCTGTCAGGATAGACAAGCTGGGCTGTCAGGGCTGCGTGCTGCCTCTGGCCCAGGCAGCCCCTTCCAGGTTCTGTCAAGACTGGAACTTTGCCATGCAGTTTGACTCCTGAGACATATCCTTTACCTTGTACCAGGCAATATCCTTGAGGGATCAGCTCTGCTGATGTGCAATTAGAGATGTGTCTCTTGCTATTTATCCTGCTGTGAAAGCCAACTTCTCTTAGTCAAGGCTTACATTTATGGATGAAGTTGCTCTGGTGGAAGAGAACATCTGACACATGCATCCAGCAAAATTACACCTGAGTGACAATATTTATAACTCCCAGAGAGAGCCTCTTTGTCACTGATCTGAGCTTTGAGGAGTCACACACCCACTGTAGCCGGGCATCCAGAAACTGCCCTTAGTTCCACAATGGGAACACAGCCCACAGCACAGCTTCCTCACAGATCAGTGCAGTGCTACAGTGCAGACATCTGATCCCTGGCTCAGGCTTGGCACCAGGGTGATGAGATGACCTTTGTGATCACAGCACAAAATTGTGTTTCTCTATTCCCTTCCTTCTGGCTGCTGAGCCATGGACAGGGTTACTGATTCCTCAGCCTCTTCCCCGTTGCTCCGGCTGCCTTCGAGGGTGTAGGAAACACAGCCTTACCATGTAGCCCTGCCTCTGCTGTCTTGTTTCTGGAGCTCCTACACGATCTGAGTAGCTCACAAAGCCCAGCTAGGGCCTCAAAGCACTGGTGTCAGAGCTGAGTGCAGCAAACCAGGGATTGTGCATGGATTTACATAAGGCACGGACAAAAACTCAGCTGCTGCAGCAATCTCTGGATGTAATCTCTGCCTCAAATTGTGTGGGGCACATTGATAATGTTCTGGTTCTTCCTGGCCTTGAAACATGAAAACGGAGAAAGCTTGATGCTGTGCCGAAGGGATTCAACTGTGTGAATCCAGGCTTTAAAGAGCTCTTCTGCTCTTCAGAGGGGCTGTCACAGTGGCATGTGGAGGCTTTGTGCTTATTGTCAGAGTGTTTCCCAGACAATATGTGCTCAAGTTATGCACTCAGAGGATGTTTTCTTTAACTGTCGGGCTGACGCATTCAGCTGTGTGCCTCAGGAACCTGTATTGCTAAAGGCAACGTGCACCTGGAAAGGAGAAGTGAAACCTTGGGTGAATTAGGGGCAGAGCAGGAGGGAAAGCAAGGCACAAAGGTGTGCAGGGCACATGCAGTCCTGCTGAGCCATGGCCCTGGATAACAAGCCCCATACCTCACTGCAACATGCTTAGGACTGGTGACACCCAGTCTGCTGTTTGAAGTCACAGGGTCTTGCAGGGTCACTCCCAGCCAAGCCTTTGTGTTGTCTTTACTGTCTTTACTCTACATGATGGAAGTGCAACCATAATTCTTTGCCAGAGAAGCAGCTCAGACACTACAGAACCAGCTCCTGTGGGCATTTTGGACTATTTGACAGTTCTCTGGCTTCATCCCTCCTTGGCCTTAGTTGTAGACAACAGCACAAACAGACACAAGCAGACCAATGCACACAACTGATTAGATGGGCTGAGGTTTGCAGAGCCAGTTTGAAGCTTTTCCCTTCCAGACTGTTTCCAGAGTGGATCCAAAATAAAAAAAACGACCTATTTTTCAGGCTTGGTTTTCTGCAGGCTGTCCCAAGAGGGAGAGATCTTCAGAGATCACCTCATCTCCCTGCATTCCTGCCATCACAGGCTGAAATCTCTGGGGGCTGCAGAGTGAATTTGGTGTTTTTCTATCTAGCACAAGGATTCCAGTAGCAACATGGCTTTCAAACTCAAACCCCAGCAATTAAACCTAACCTAGATTTGAGCACAGCCCAAGCCATGAACCACCTATCTGTCCTGACTGTGGTTATTAATGACTCTCCTGGAGGAGAAATCAGGACAAAACTCAAGCAATATCCTCAGCATAAACAAAGTTGGCTTTGCTGTGCAGGGTGCCGTCATGTTTTTGTGCCACGCGTACACCGAAGGATTATTACATTTTGCGTCCCAGAAATTGGACCACGGCTCTCGCTCATCCTGCAGCACGAGGCAGGTAACGACAGGGGCTCTAATGACACATCAAAGGCTTTGCTAAGCTGCCGGTAACCATGAGAACACAGCTGAAGAGGTTTGTTGTACTGCCAGCCCTGGGAGAGGTATGTTTAGCTTGACTCACGCTTCTTGCCATTGTGTTGAGCAGTTCAAAGGGCTTCCCGTGACTTTAAAGAGGAAAACATGGCTTCTCACTGGGTGTTCCATTTTTGGTGCTGCTGTGGCAACAAAGCAGAGGCAAAACAGGAGGGGTCTGCAATTCTATTTCCAGAAGGTTCTGAACAAGTTATTGCTTGTGGCTGGGACAGAAGAGCCAAAGGATACACCAGCTGGAGGATGTGGTTGCTGGCAGTCTGGCTATTTTTCACTTTCTGGTTAGGCTTTGTGAGGGCATTTCTAGGCTCAGATGTCCAGACCTGAACCTGAGTGATGAAGCAAACCTCTGTGGCAAGCTGGTACAGGGTCAGGTGCAAAGATGAGGCTTTCTGCAAAAAACTGTTCTACCCAAATACTGCAGATGCAGTGGTAATTGTCTGGGAAGTGAGATACATTCCTCTTAGTCTGACATTTTGACGTTTCATTAGGCAGAGCATATGGTGCTGAGGAGTCTTCTTCCAGTAACAAGAGGTGGCAGGAAAGGCTGGGGGGGAGGGGGCGGGATGTGGGCACTCTGCTAAGCAGTGATTGATGCCTCAGCTCACCTAAATACTGCTGCTAATTAGTGCTGTGAAAGATGAGCGTGTGCTGGAGAGGGCATGGTGAAGAAGGGTGAAGGATAGCCAAGGGGTGCAGAGGGGTGGGAAGGAGTGAGCAGTGCCCATGGGGTGGTGGAACAGAGCTTCTCAGGGAGCTGGTGCACATGGGGCAAAGGCAGAGGCTTCAGGCCAAGGAGATTATCTGAGAACAGGAATGATGCACTCCTTTTCCCTTCAGCAAGCATTGTCTGTGAACGTGCTGACTTCAGGCTAGCTGAAATTGCTGAACCAGACTCATCTCACTGGGATGATACGGTGTTTTCCTTTTTATTTAATTTCAGGAGACTTAAAAACCCTCCTCCAATTGTGGGCAGTGGAGGTGGAAGATTAGGTTGCTTTTTCAGTAGTTTGTTGATGGATCTATTGTATTTTGTTTTTTCTTACTGACTCAGCTATTAAAACACACTTCAGATGTAAAATGTGATCGCTGTTTTCCCACACAACTAAAGTCATCTAGCAGTGTCATAAAGTTTCTCCTTCCCTTGACAACAGTTGCTTATGTTGGCTGTGGTCTGGATTGGGCAGCAGGGTATGGCCAAGGCCAATTTGTGCCCAGATCTACTGCTTCCTGGCCCCCTCTGAGACTCTTTCTGGCTGTTCTGAATGGCACTCAGCCACTGGACTCATAATCTGTGGTCCCTTGAGTTAGTGTTCAGCCTTATCCATAGCCATGGATCACAGCCAAATTCTCATCCAGTACAGTGGATGAAAAAGGCCATTCTGCTTTTGGGGGATTCAGGACACATCAGAAGTAAAGTGCTGAGCAGGAAGAAAAGTCCTTTGGAAAAGCTGGCTTTGAGAACACCCAGTTAAGAGCCTTTTGAAATAATAAAGCAATTGGTGAAGCCAAAGAAGTATCAGGAGGGTTAAAAGGAAAAGTCTTGTGTGGCCTCCTGAGGGAGACAGGTGGAATGCTAAATTTTGTGCATCAGCATTTCCTTTATGCAAGTGACAATGACAAATAGTAGAAGCAAAAAGTCCTGTGCAGTTGGAAAGGAAACAGAAAGAATGGAGTGATAAAGCTAGTGAGGACATGCTTGCAAGCAATGAAGCTCTCCATCTTCAAGCTGGCACATTTCACGAGAAACAGAATGAGAGGAGCAGAATGACACAAGCAATGTGTGTCTAACCCACACCTTGCTACCAGGTTTTTATACCTGCTTCATGAAGTCTTAATTTTCATCCAGATTGCAAAAGAAGAGACATTAAAGTGAAGGAGCAGTTTGTTGGTAGCATTATTTGGGTCCTCAGAAGGAAATCATTGCACCACTGTGCTCATACGCTTGTCAAGAGCTCTGAATTTGCCTGGGTTTTGTACTTCACCATAAACATCCACTTGTCTCCTCTATTGGTCATGGAGTCTACCTGCACAGCTACACTAAACCTATGACTACTTGGCCAGAGTATGCAGCCTTGCATCAACCATAGTTGGGCTGAGAGCCCAACATCTCTGTAAGGGTGTATGGGGCCATGTCCCGCTGATGCTGAGTTAGCTGAGCCTGCCCTGACTGTGGGAGATGCTGTTTGTATGGTTAATTCTGGGGTGGATGTGCCCGTTGGAGACAGGACAGTAGTACCTGGCACTGAAAAACAGCAGAAATGAGCGTTTACTTTTGTTGAATTACAGAACAGAGAGGTACCATTGACCTACCCTGGGGAGAGATGCAGAAGGTCACAGGAAACCACCTTCCTCACCTGTTTCCATTGCCATGTCATACAAGACTAAGACGTAGACTGCAATGGGGCCATGTGCTTGTCCTTGCAGAGCTCTCCTAAGGATGGATTTACTGGATTTTATAGCCATTGTGAGTGCTTCTGGGGCTCCTGTTCATGCACTTTGGCCACCCTACTCCAGCGAAATTGTGGCAGCTTCCAGCTCTGCTCCTCCACCTCTTTAGTGCCTCTGCTGGGGATGCCAGCTTCTGCACATCCTCTAAAAGCAGCAAGTGAGACTGTAAATGGGTCCAAAATCAGGTTCCTTCCTTCACCCAGCAGAGCAAACTTCATAGCTGTCAGGGTGTTTCCATGGTACAACAGCCAAAGTGAAGCACACAGAAGTGGCACAGAGCTCACTCCTGCCTGTCATCTGCCACGTGCAGTCATCATCACCACAGCCTCTGTCCTCACTGAGTAGTCCTGGAGCCCCACCGGCCCCAGACCACTTTCCCTCTGCTTGGTTTCCCCACAAAGGTGCCCAGAGTTCTGGGAAGTGTTTGCTTCTGTCCAACAAAATACTTCAATGCCAACTTTAGAAAATAATCCTAATTTTTTTTTTTTCTAGAATCATCGATGAAAACAACTGCTCTTTACTTTCCCTTTCTTTTTCTGTCTTTTAAAAAAAGTTTTTTTTTCTTCTTTCTTTGTCTTTATTTCTTGCAGGCAAAATCTGCACCCCTTATTTTTTCTAGGGTTCTAGCCTCAACATTTTGTGTGGAAGGTAACCCCAGCATTTTCTTTTTCTTAGAAGACCATTTTGCAGCTAAAGGAATATGTCTTGCTGGAATATTTCCATTGTGCCTCTTGACCTGAGTTTTCCACAGGCAACCTTTACCCTTCAGGCTGTGCATTTGTCCTTTGAATTCTTCTCTTGCTTCTGTAAGAGGCTGCTTTTTCTGAGCCATCAGAAGTGGGTCTTTTTTAGACCAAAATGTACCACCAAAGAAGATGGTATTAGAAGTCTCCTGGGAAATCATCTGTTCTGGCTCTCCCTCCTAGTCTGCAGGCTTTTTAATACTTCAAGAAGGAAGAGTTTGGAGCTTCCTTTTTTAGAGCCCTTTATAATGGATCCTTTCATGCCTGGCCCCGTGTTCTGCAGCGTGCTGTGATGATGGCGGCACCACGCTTGTGAGGCTGTTTCCTGACAGGGCATCCTGCTGGGATAAGATGGATGCCTAAAGAGCACAAGTTGTCCTGCAGTCTCACAACAGCCCCAGGATGCATGATTCTGCATCTGCTGTGTGCATCTTCTGCAGTGCCACCACCACTGTCTGGGGACATGAGCTCTGGTGCCCCAAGTGCATGTGGCTTTGATTTTGTTCGGTGTACCTGAAGCACACTGTGGCTTCACTGAATAATCTGAGCTCTCAGCTTCTTCCAGGCCACTGGGAAGAAAAAGCCATGTTAGTTGTCCCTGGGAAGCACTTTCCCTCTGTTTCCCAGCATGGTCCATAAGATATCCCCTGGCACCAGACATTAATGAGCTCCTTGTGCACAGTTCATAAGCAAACAAAAGTCCTGGGCTTTGGCAGATTTTCTGATTGCACTGAGTAGATAAACTCAGTCAGTAGGGCTGAGTTCAAAATGTGAAATGTGGCCAGCTTGGTGTGCCTGCTGCTCTCAGCAGCTGATGGCCTTCTGCCCAGAGACCCTTAGGTTAGTGACCACATCGAGGCCTTTGTTGCCTTTGATGGATGCAGCGTAAAGATGTCATGGCAGAAGGGCCAGGTGGGATCTACTGCAGCCTGGTATTTCTGATCATGCCTTGTGTTCTGTCTTGTAGGCTAACCATTCATGCAGAGTGCCCCATGCACCTGGAGGACTTCCCAATGGATGTGCACGCTTGCCCACTGAAATTTGGGAGCTGTAAGTACCTTGATCAGTCTTTATAAGAAGGTGGCTTCAGAAGAAGAACTATCCATCACCTGGCCAGTGTCTTCCAGTGTTTTAGAAATGGTGTTATTAGTTACAGAATAGTTGATGATGGGAACACAACCAAAAATTTGTTTCTGGTATATTGCACAAAATTCCTGTTGTCATCAGAAATGAGCAAGGAACATCGTCAGGCAGCCTGCTCTCAACTGAAGAGCAGGCAGACTAGGAGTCTGAGTCCCAAAACCAACCAAGTCTTGATTTATGGAAGATTTGCAGTCTGTTGATCACATAGAGGTTGCTCCGAGGCTTAGGACTAGCAACTGCTCATCTGCTTGACAAATTATTATCTCCGTGGCTCCTCTGGGTATTTTTGACTGATTTCTCCTCTGAACGTTTGGAGGTCTGACACAAGCAGCTCAGAGAGCTGTCCCTGATTACTGCCAGTATGAATATTTCTGAAGCACCCACCTGCGTGGCATCTGAGCTCACCTCTGATGTTGGAGCAGGATTCAATCAGCGTTTGCACCAGCAAGCTGCCCACAGCTGGAAGCCGCTCCCTGGCAGGAAGCTCAGCATGGCTCGGGTTGGTGAGCAGAAGGGCAGTGCTGCTGCCAGACACATGCTGCTTGCAGGACAGCCGAATTCACCTCCGTGACCACCAGGGATCCCCACAAGCTGAATGGCTCACTGCCACGGTGGCATCCACCCAGAGAGCACAGGCAGAGAGGAGGAAGGGGATCGGGTACCTGAGGCAGCTCCAGCTCACAGCCCGTACCTCCCCGCTCCTGCCGTGTGCTCCCATCATTGCTGGGCCCAGGTGAGAGAAATGAAACCTCCCTGAAGTACCGCCCACCCTTGGGCACAGGAAGAGCCACCGTCAAATGCGGAAACAGGACAGGCACCTGGAGAATATTTAGGATGTTTATTTCTGGAACTAATCTACTCTGTTCACTTGGAACCTAGGATCTCTATCTGCTATGGCATGAATTGTGCTGGTGTCCAACTCGGTCGCCTCCAGCTCCGCTGTTGCTAGCGGCGGGCTCACTGCCCGCTGATGCTGCAGGGCCTCGCCGTCTGTTTGGAGGGCTGCTCACGGGGCCCTCCTCGAAATCCAGCTCTGGTGGGAATGCAGCTGATGCTCTCCTTCGTACGCCAGCGCTCCGCTTGAACCATTTCTGCAGACATGGGTACTCTTTCTTGAAACTGGGGTTGTAGTAGCAGAGCAACTGCAAAATGCAGAGGAGAAGAGTTAGATGCCACCGTTTCCAGATGGCAAAAGACAAAGCTACATTAAGTAATAGTCAGAAATTTTAGGATTGTCAAAGCAGGAAAGCGGGTTTGGAAACCCAAATACCACCAGCTTGCAACCCCCTCAGGTGGGACCGGCCACCAATGCACCTGTCCTTAGAGGTGTCCTATGGGCAGGGGGACTGCGTACCTCACTGCAAACAGACGCGGCTGCGCCTGCTGGGCATTTTGCCCGAGAGGCAGCTGTGGGCAAATCGCTGTCCACAATGAAGAAGCCGTGCAGGTGGAGCTGGCGAACGAAGGCTTTCATGCAGCCGATGCTGAGGTTGTGTAGAGGTCCTGTCCTTCCCAGCACTTCTGTTTTGAAGAGGGTTTCCTCAATCACAATGGTGTTCTCATCGTCGCCCCACCAGATGGACTGGAAGCAGTCGCTGTCCACAATGTTACGGAGCTTTGTTAGAAAGCAGCAGGCCGAGTCATGGGCTTTGCAGGAGCCCTTGGTGGAAAGATCAAGCCGTTGTCTTTTGGCACAGGATTGCTCCTGTGAACCCTGAGAAGTGTCTTCTTCTCGTGTCGGTCCTAAGGCAGCATCCCGAGCTGTTCTTTTACCCCGTCTTTGCGGGACAGAAGAAGCCGGGTCTGCCGAGCCAGCATTTGGAACAGAAACTCCAGGAGTTTCTGATGAAGATGTCTCCATCTTAACTATCAACTGTTTGCGCTGACAGAAATTTCTGTCCGCAGCGGTCTCCCCGGCCAACCAGGGTCGTCCTGCCAGCAGCAGGATGGAGCGCAATGGCAGCCGTGGTGTGAGGCGTGGGGAGTGGGCTGGGATGGTCACAAACGTCACCGTGGTGACCGTGCTGCACGACGGTGACATCACAGACCGGTGACTGTTTGCTGGGGAAATGGGGCATCCTTGTTAATTATGGAGATATGCAAGGAAATGTGATCCAAGCTATTTACGCTACCTAAAGTAGTAGGCAGAAAGAAACCTATAATTTCCCCAAGGAAGACTTTCCCAGCAATGCCTTCATTGGGTCCATTTCTGCAGGAAGTTTGTTTCTGCCTGTGAACCTGACTAGGACTTGTGTTTCTTCTTTAATCTGCTTCTAGGTGACCATATGCCATCGTGAGATGCTCTCAAATTCTACTAAAGATCTCTCATTTCTCTAATCTGAGCCACTGACTGAGCAATGCTTATCTGAAAATACCCAGGGCACTTGCTGCTTCCTGGTTCCGGTGTCAAAAGCTCTTGCCATCTTCCTCTTGGCATACAGGGGTTTAATTTGGGGCTGGAGCACCTCTGCTGTGAAGAGAGGTTGAGGGAACTGGGCTTGTTTAGCTTGGAGAAGAGAAGGCTTTGAGGAGACCTCATTGTGTCCTTCCAATACTTGAAGGGAGCGTATAAACTAGAGGGAATGTCTGTTTACAAGGGTGGATAGTGATAGGACCAGGGGGAATGGTTTTAAAGTGAGACAGAGGAGGTTTAGTTTGGATATTAGGAGGAAGTTTTTCACACAGAGGAACAGGTTGCACAAGGAGGCTGTGGATGCCCCATCCCTGCAGGCTTTCAAGGCCAGGCTGGATGTGGCTCTGGGCAGCCTGGTCTGGGGGTTGGCGACCCTGCACACAGAAATGCATTGAAACTAGGTGATCAGTGTGGTCCTTTTCAGCCGAGGTCATTCTATGCTTCAGTGAATCCATGAGTATGTTTGCATACTCAGATTTCTTATCCTCAAACCTCATGTTCCATTATCAGACGGCACTGCAAGGCACTGCTGTGCATCCTCTGCTATGGCTGGAGCTCTTGGGTCAGTCAACACTGCCCTGTTGCTGAGTCTGACAGAATGCAGCACTGGTGACTGGGGCCTTTGGCTCTCCTGAGCTGGAGCAAAACAGACAACTGACATTCCCCTTGAGGGAGCCGGGATGGTTCAGTCTGGAGAAGAGGAGGTTCAGGTGAGACTGTATCGCTCTGCCATGAGCTGAAAGGAAGTTGTATTGAGGCGGGTGTTGGCCTCTTTTTCCAGCTGGCAGTAGAACAGAATGAGAGGTAATGGCCTTTAGGTACACCAAGGGAGGTTCCTGTTGAGCATTAGGAAAAACTTCCACTCTGAGAGAGCGGTGAGGCAGTGGCACAGGCTGCCTGGGGCGGTGGGGGAGTCACCATCCCCACAGGCGTTCAAGAACCGCTTGGCTGCAGCACTGAGGGACGTGGTTGGTGGGCACGTGGGGACATGCTGGACTTGTTGACCTTAGTGGTGTTTTGGAACCATTTTGATGCTGTCATGTGGTTACCCAAGGGCACAATACTGGATCTGCAGTCTGTTGGTGAGGTGAAGGCTGCTGCCAGCCTACCAGGCCTGCAGCTGCTCATCTGCCTGGGCTTCCTTTCCCCTGCCTGGAAACAAGGTCTCTTCTCTTTCCAGCGTGCAAGTAACATTTCTTCCACTTTTGTTCCTAAATGAAGTGTGAACCAAATTCTGAGCCACTGGTTTATCATAATGTAGACATGCATTTCCTAGTCCAGCTCTGTATGGAGCCTCTCCCACATCCTACAAAGAGAGCACCGGTCTCACTCTCCATCTGCATTAGGTGGAAGAGGGAACTACCTGCACCTACAGAATGAGCCCCTACCACTAATCCCTCTCTTGGACTCTGAGAAAACAGAGATGTCATAACTTTTCCAAACAGATACTTCCTTCCTGTAACCATCTGGGAGATAACTTAGGAGAAAGTTGAAAGTGTGGGTGACACCACAAAAACTCACATTTAGCATGTGCATCTGCCCCTTTGCCACATAACCAAATACGTTCTTGAAGTTAGATTGTTTGCAGCTACTGTGATGAAGAAGAAATTTCTCAGGTGGTCCCTAACAAATACAGAACGAGTGGCTACAAGACATCACACTAAGGCCAGCAAACCAACACGCCTTACAGAAGGGTATGCTTATTTCCGATAGAACACCCTTTGGGGCTCCTCTGGGTATTTTTGACTGATTTCTCCTCTGAACGTTTGGAGGTCTGATACAAGCAGCTCAGAGAGCTGTCCCTGATTACTGCCAGTATGAATATTTCTGAAGCACCCACCTGCGTGGCATCTGAGCTCACCTCTGATGTTGGAGCAGGATTCAATCAGCGTTTGCACCAGCAAGCTGCCCACAGCTGGAAGCCGCTCCCTGGCAGGAAGCTCAGCATGGCTCGGGTTGGTGAGCAGAAGGGCAGTGCTGCTGCCAGACACATGCTGCTTGCAGGACAGCCGAATTCACCTCCGTGACCACCAGGGATCCCCACAAGCTGAATGGCTCACTGCCACGGTGGCATCCACCCAGAGAGCACAGGCAGAGAGGAGGAAGGGGATCGGGTACCTGAGGCAGCTCCAGCTCACAGCCCGTACCTCCCCGCTCCTGCCGTGTGCTCCCATCATTGCTGGGCCCAGGTGAGAGAAATGAAACCTCCCTGAAGTACCGCCCACCCTTGGGCACAGGAAGAGCCACCGTCAAATGCGGAAACAGGACAGGCAACTGGAGAATATTTAGGATGTTTATTTCTGGAACTGATCTACTCTGTTCACTTGGAACCTAGGATCTCTATCTGCTATGGCATGAATTGTGCTGGTGTCCAACTCGGTCGCTTCCAGCTCCGCTGTTGCTAGCGGCGGGCTCACTGCCCGCTGATGCTGCAGGGCCTCGCCGTCTGTTTGGAGGGCTGCTCACGGGGCCCTCCTCGAAATCCAGCTCTGGTGGGAATGCAGCTGATGCTCTCCTTCGTACGCCAGCGCTCCGCTTGAACCATTTCTGCAGACATGGGTACTCTTTCTTGAAACTGGGGTTGTAGTAGCAGAGCAACTGCAAAATGCAGAGGAGAAGAGTTAGATGCCACCGTTTCCAGATGGCAAAAGACAAAGCTACATTAAGTAATAGTCAGAAATTTTAGGATTGTCAAAGCAGGAAAGTGGGTTTGGAAACCCAAATACCACCAGCTTGCAGCCCCCTCAGGTGGGACCGGCCACCAATGCACCTGTCCTGAGAGGTGTCCTATGGGCAGGGGGACTGCGTACCTCACTGCAAACAGACGCGGCTGCGCCTGCTGGGCATTTTGCCCGAGAGGCAGCTGTGGGCAAATCGCTGTCCACAATGAAGAAGCCGTGCAGGTGGAGCTGGCGAACGAAGGCTTTCATGCAGCCGATGCTGAGGTTGTGTAGAGGTCCTGTCCTTCCCAGCACTTCTGTTTTGAAGAGGGTTTCCTCAATCACAATGGTGTTCTCATCGTCGCCCCACCAGATGGACTGGAAGCAGTCGCTGTCCACAATGTTACGGAGCTTTGTTAGAAAGCAGCAGGCCGAGTCATGGGCTTTGCAGGAGCCCTTGGTGGAAAGATCAAGCCGTTGTCTTTTGGCACAGGATTGCTCCTGTGAACCCTGAGAAGTGTCTTCTTCTCGTGTCGGTCCTAAGGCAGCATCCCGAGCTGTTCTTTTACCCCGTCTTTGCGGGACAGAAGAAGCCGGGTCTGCCGAGCCAGCATTTGGAACAGAAACTCCAGGAGTTTCTGATGAAGATGTCTCCATCTTAACTATCAACTGTTTGCGCTGACAGAAATTTCTGTCCGCAGCGGTCTCCCCGGCCAACCAGGGTCGTCCTGCCAGCAGCAGGATGGAGCGCAATGGCAGCCGTGGTGTGAGGCGTGGGGAGTGGGCTGGGATGGTCACAAACGTCACCGTGGTGACCGTGCTGCACGACGGTGACATCACAGACCGGTGACTGTTTGCTGGGGAAATGGGGCATCCTTGTTAATTATGGAGATATGCAAGGAAATGTGATCCAAGCTATTTACGCTACCTAAAGTAGTAGGCAGAAAGAAACCTATAATTTCCCCAAGGAAGACTTTCCCAGCAATGCCTTCATTGGGTCCATTTCTGCAGGAAGTTTGTTTCTGCCTGTGAACCTGACTAGGACTTGTGTTTCTTCTTTAATCTGCTTCTAGGTGACCATATGCCATCGTGAGATGCTCTCAAATTCTACTAAAGATCTCTCATTTCTCTAATCTGAGCCACTGACTGAGCAATGCTTATCTGAAAATACCCAGGGCACTTGCTGCTTCCTGGTTCCGGTGTCAAAAGCTCTTGCCATCTTCCTCTTGGCATACAGGGGTTTAATTTGGGGCTGGAGCACCTCTGCTGTGAAGAGAGGTTGAGGGAACTGGGCTTGTTTAGCTTGGAGAAGAGAAGGCTTTGAGGAGACCTCATTGTGTCCTTCCAATACTTGAAGGGAGCGTATAAACTAGAGGGAATGTCTGTTTACAAGGGTGGATAGTGATAGGACCAGGGGGAATGGTTTTAAAGTGAGACAGAGGAGGTTTAGTTTGGATATTAGGAGGAAGTTTTTCACACAGAGGAACAGGTTGCACAAGGAGGCTGTGGATGCCCCATCCCTGCAGGCTTTCAAGGCCAGGCTGGATGTGGCTCTGGGCAGCCTGGTCTGGGGGTTGGCGACCCTGCACACAGAAATGCATTGAAACTAGGTGATCAGTGTGGTCCTTTTCAGCCGAGGTCATTCTATGCTTCAGTGAATCCATGAGTATGTTTGCATACTCAGATTTCTTATCCTCAAACCTCATGTTCCATTATCAGACGGCACTGCAAGGCACTGCTGTGCATCCTCTGCTATGGCTGGAGCTCTTGGGTCAGTCAACACTGCCCTGTTGCTGAGTCTGACAGAATGCAGCACTGGTGACTGGGGCCTTTGGCTCTCCTGAGCTGGAGCAAAACAGACAACTGACATTCCCCTTGAGGGAGCCGGGATGGTTCAGTCTGGAGAAGAGGAGGTTCAGGTGAGACTGTATCGCTCTGCCATGAGCTGAAAGGAAGTTGTATTGAGGCGGGTGTTGGCCTCTTTTTCCAGCTGGCAGTAGAACAGAAGGAGAGGTAATGGCCTTTAGGTACACCAAGGGAGGTTCCTGTTGAGCATTAGGAAAAACTTCCACTCTGAGAGAGCGGTGAGGCAGTGGCACAGGCTGCCTGGGGCGGTGGGGGAGTCACCATCCCCACAGGCGTTCAAGAACCGCTTGGCTGCAGCACTGAGGGACGTGGTTGGTGGGCACGTGGGGACATGCTGGACTTGTTGACCTTAGTGGTGTTTTGGAACCATTTTGATGCTGTCATCTGGATACCTAAGGGCACAATACTGGATCTGCAGTCTGTTGGTGAGGTGAAGGCTGCTGCCAGCCTACCAGGCCTGCAGCTGCTCATCTGCCTGGGCTTCCTTTCCCCTGCCTGGAAACAAGGTCTCTTCTCTTTCCAGCGTGCAAGTAACATTTCTTCCACTTTTGTTCCTAAATGAAGTGTGAACCAAATTCTGAGCCACTGGTTTATCATAATGTAGACATGCATTTCCTAGTCCAGCTCTGTATGGAGCCTCTCCCACATCCTACAAAGAGAGCACCGGTCTCACTCTCCATCTGCATTAGGTGGAAGAGGGAACTACCTGAACCTACAGAATGAGCCCCTACCACTAATCCCTCTCTTGGACTCTGAGAAAACAGAGATGTCATAACTTTTCCAAACGGATACTTCCTTCCTGTAACCATCTGGGAGATAACTTAGGAGAAAGTTGAAAGTGTGGGTGACACCACAAAAACTCACATTTAGCATGTGCATCTGCCCCTTTGCCACATAACCAAATACGTTCTTGAAGTTAGATTGTTTGCAGCTACTGTGATGAAGAAGAAATTTCTCAGGTGGTCCCTAACAAATACAGAACGAGTGGCTACAAGACATCACACTAAGGCCAGCAAACCAACACGCCTTACAGAAGGGTATGCTTATTTCTGATAGAACACCCTTTGGGGCTCCTCTGGGTATTTTTGACTGATTTCTCCTCTGAACGTTTGGAGGTCTGACACAAGCAGCTCAGAGCTGTCCCTGATTACTGCCAGTATGAATATTTCTGAAGCACCCACCTGCATGGCATCTGAGCTCACCTCTGATGTTGGAGCAGGATTCAATCAGCGTTTGCACCAGCAAGCTGCCCACAGCTGGAAGCCGCTCCCTGGCAGGAAGCTCAGCATGGCTCGGGTTGGTGAGCAGAAGGGCAGTGCTGCTGCCAGACACATGCTGCTTGCAGGACAGCCGAATTCACCTCCGTGACCACCAGGGATCCCCACAAGCTGAATGGCTCACTGCCACGGTGGCATCCACCCAGAGAGCACAGGCAGAGAGGAGGAAGGGGATCGGGTACCTGAGGCAGCTCCAGCTCACAGCCCGTACCTCCCGCTCCTGCCGTGTGCTCCCATCATTGCTGGGCCCAGGTGAGAGAAATGAAACCTCCCTGAAGTACCGCCCACCCTTGGGCACAGGAAGAGCCACCGTCAAATGCGGAAACAGGACAGGCAACTGGAGAATATTTAGGATGTTTATTTCTGGAACTGATCTACTCTGTTCACTTGGAACCTAGGATCTCTATCTGCTATGGCATGAATTGTGCTGGTGTCCAACTCGGTCGCCTCCAGCTCCGCTGTTGCTAGCGGCGGGCTCACTGCCCGCTGATGCTGCAGGGCCTCGCCGTCTGTTTGGAGGGCTGCTCACGGGGCCCTCCTCGAAATCCAGCTCTGGTGGGAATGCAGCTGATGCTCTCCTTCGTACGCCAGCGCTCCGCTTGAACCATTTCTGCAGACATGGGTACTCTTTCTTGAAACTGGGGTTGTAGTAGCAGAGCAACTGCAAAATGCAGAGGAGAAGAGTTAGTTGCCACCGTTTCCAGATGGCAAAAGACAAAGCTACATTAAGTAATAGTCAGAAATTTTAGGATTGTCAAAGCAGGAAAGTGGGTTTGGAAACCCAAATACCACCAGCTTGCAGCCCCCTCAGGTGGGACCGGCCACCAATGCACCTGTCCTGAGAGGTGTCCTATGGGCAGGGGGACTGCGTACCTCACTGCAAACAGACGCGGCTGCGCCTGCTGGGCATTTTGCCCGAGAGGCAGCTGTGGGCAAATCGCTGTCCACAATGAAGAAGCCGTGCAGGTGGAGCTGGCGAACGAAGGCTTTCATGCAGCCGATGCTGAGGTTGTGTAGAGGTCCTGTCCTTCCCAGCACTTCTGTTTTGAAGAGGGTTTCCTCAATCACAATGGTGTTCTCATCGTCGCCCCACCAGATGGACTGGAAGCAGTCGCTGTCCACAATGTTACGGAGCTTTGTTAGAAAGCAGCAGGCCGAGTCATGGGCTTTGCAGGAGCCCTTGGTGGAAAGATCAAGCCGTTGTCTTTTGGCACAGGATTGCTCCTGTGAACCCTGAGAAGTGTCTTCTTCTCGTGTCGGTCCTAAGGCAGCATCCCGAGCTGTTCTTTTACCCCGTCTTTGCGGGACAGAAGAAGCCGGGTCTGCCGAGCCAGCATTTGGAACAGAAACTCCAGGAGTTTCTGATGAAGATGTCTCCATCTTAACTATCAACTGTTTGCGCTGACAGAAATTTCTGTCCGCAGCGGTCTCCCCGGCCAACCAGGGTCGTCCTGCCAGCAGCAGGATGGAGCGCAATGGCAGCCGTGGTGTGAGGCGTGGGGAGTGGGCTGGGATGGTCACAAACGTCACCGTGGTGACCGTGCTGCACGACGGTGACATCACAGACCGGTGACTGTTTGCTGGGGAAATGGGGCATCCTTGTTAATTATGGAGATATGCAAGGAAATGTGATCCAAGCTATTTACGCTACCTAAAGTAGTAGGCAGAAAGAAACCTATAATTTCCCCAAGGAAGACTTTTCCAGCAATGCCTTCATTGGGTCAGTTTCTGCAGGAAGTTTGTTTCTGCCTGTGAACCTGACTAGGACTAGTGTTTCTTCTTTAATCTGCTTCTAGGTGACCGTATGCCATCGTGACATGCTCTCAAGTTCTATTAAAGATCCAAAGAACCATTTTGTTTCTGGTTACCTAAGAATACAATCAACAACAAAATAGGAATTGAGAATTTTCCATAGAAGGCCTGACGTGACCCGAGGCAGAGATTTCTTAATACAAGAATCTGGTTGTACATATGAATGAAAAAATTCTTGTTCAAGCATTTTGCAGATAGTGACCTTTGTTCTTTCGAAGATCAGTACTGCAAAGTGGGTATGGACAGGAAGCTTGAGAATTATGAAGTGTCATAGCACCTGGTAGCATGTGATGAAAATTCATTTCTAGATACTGTAGGACTTGCGGCATTGAGAATGTGGGGGTTTTGTTGGGAAAGGGAGTAGCTTTGGGGAAGCAGACAGAACAGAAAGGTGTCATGAAGACCATGATGACCATGTTGGTTTTTGAGAAGTGTTGGGCAAACTGGACGGAGAGTGGATCTCCCAGATCCCTGGAAGGTTGCCCTTGCTCTGAGCCCAGTACTGCCGCTTACAGCAGTGCAGTAGCCCTTGCCGGCTGTCCCTGTTGCAGTGTGGTGTCAAGCTCTGCTCAGCAGTGCTCTCCCTCACTGCCAGGAGGGCTGCCTGCATTCTGGCAAGCATGGGATCATGCAGTGGAAAAAGCAGATTGGTGGAAGGGCACACCCCCTCTGGAGCTGTGAGGCTTGGAGAGAGTTCTCCTGAAGGTAAATGCTTTTAATTTTTACTTTTAATTGAAGCAACAAAAATATCAACCCTATCTGTGTGTTAGCTGTCTTCGCAGCCGCTCCCAGCTGGTCTCTCACAGTCTTCGTCAGATCACGGTGGGGCTTTCCCAAAACTGTAGCTCCCTTTGGCTCATTTGATTAGCAGCTGCTGAACTGCTTTGGTCTCTGGCCATGCTTGGCTGTGCTCAGCCATGTGGCTCTGAGGAATGCATAGCAAGGATTAGTTTGGCCACAGGCTAATTTTGGTGTATTTTAGGTCAGCCAGGAGCATGAGCTCATTCTTCTTTTTCCTCCACAGATGCCTACACAAAAACAGAGGTAATCTACACCTGGACCCTGGGGAAGGATAAATCTGTGGAAGTAGCAAAGGGTGGATCTCGCCTGAACCAGTATGACCTGCTGGGCCATGTTGTTGGGACAGAGATGGTTCGATCCAGCACAGGTACTTGTGGGACCATATGATGCACAGGTTGAGAACACTGTAAGTCAAGATGGACCCATAGGCTTTGAATGCCACAATTTGGCATAATAATAGTAGTAGTACCTGCAGGCTGCGAGCACCGTGGTGCTGTTGGAGAATGTAGCTGGGAACATCTGGGGCAGTTACTATAAGGCAGTAAGTTGTTTAGCTTTTAGTGCTTTCGCCCATACTCTGTAGAAATGATGTGTTGTGTGGAAAATTTGCCCCATTTTGCCCTGCTAGTCCTTGGTACTGCAGATTCATTTGTCTTGGATCCCTTTTCAGCCCCTCAGGAGAGCATTGCAGGCAGGGGAGGCAAGTGGAACATGATGATGTGTGATTTTCACTGCATCTGCTTACACAAATATTATCGTAGCTAATAGAAGATTCTCCCAAACAATTGCTTCCTCTGATTAATGACCAATATTAATCATCTTTCTCTCCCATCTGCTCCTCCTCCCTTTCCCTCTGAATTCAGGTACCAATAGCTTCTGTTATCTTGTGTGTTTCTCTCATTTCTCCCGTTTTCTTTTCTGTGCTTTTTTTTTTTTTTTTTTCCTTCTGCTGTATGCACCAGTAGTTCTCTCATTTGAGAATATTTCCTCTCTGGTGCACTTGATTTTAATAGTGTCTGTCTGTAACAACTCGTATCACCTCCCTTGGGGAAACGTAGGGAGTCCAGGGGACTAAATGTCATCATATCTGGCCCATCTCTCTACTTAAGTTGTAGTAAAATGTACAGATGAATAACCTGAAATGGCAAGAAAGCTGCTAAAGGCTCTTGTGTGTAATGACTTAGCAGAGCCATACTCACAACAAAAAGGCACAATAACCCAGCAAAATATCCAAAGCCTTGGTGCATTTCTTTGAGAGGATGAATAGGGCACTGAGGGAAAATAGAGACAGCTGCTCTTTTGGTCTACAGCCCAGACCTTGAACCACAGAACTTGCCCTATTTTCTGAGATCGTTAAAGTGAGGAAAAGCAGAATATTTTCAGGCTTGTCACAGAAAACCTAAGAGTTTGCAGGTTCACTCAACACAGACCTTTATTGCTTCAGAGATGGGCTAGCGCTCAGTTGGCCCATCCTGGAACACCCAGTGGATCTGTGCCTCTAACTGGTTATTTCCCTAGGGGAGTATGTTGTCATGACCACGCACTTTCACCTCAAGAGGAAGATCGGGTACTTCGTCATCCAGACCTACCTGCCCTGCATCATGACTGTAATCCTGTCCCAGGTCTCCTTCTGGTTGAACAGGGAATCTGTGCCTGCCAGAACAGTTTTTGGTGAGTCTGTGAGCATGGGGGTCCCCAGACAGGCTGGAGAGAGAGGTAAATGATGGGAATTAGCCCTTTGTCTAGATTCACAGGGCAGAACAATTTGGTACATGCAACAGACTATCTGCCTCCAATATCCCTTTGGCAGATGAACAAGTTCAATGCCCACTGGAGCCAGCTCCCCTTGCCCGAGTGACCTGGGGGTTTCCAGGGTGTTGGCCTGGGCTGATGGGGCTGGTGGCATCTGTGGTTCAAACACCAGTGTCCACACCCACAGAGAGAAGATAAGGCAGTGTGTAGGCTGCTGCCTTCCAGGGAGTTTCTGACTAGGACCCCAGTGGATGGTTTCTCCTTCCATAGGATGCCTTATTAATACACAGCAGGCAGAAAAACCCAAATTATCGAGAATCCCAATTTCCAGCACGCATTGGCTGCCATGAGTTGAGTCAGCATTTTCTGCTTGGAGCAGGTCTCAGCAGGGGAAAAAAGCCAATAGGAAAATAAGGAAACGGGCTCCAGGGGAAGGCTGAGAAACAAGAAGGAAGGACCAGCCATCACAGCTAATCTTCTCCAATCTCCAGTTCGCTGGCATTGATGAAGCTGATGTCCATTTCTCAGAATAGCTCTTAGTGTCTTCCTAGTGCTTCTTCCACTATATCACTGCAAAAAATACTCCTCTCCATGTTTTGCTACAAGCCAAGTCATAAATATTAACAGTAATCAAGGTATTGATCATCTAATTATATGTATTTGACTGTGTCTGCTTATCTGTATTGGCTTTTGAGTTGAGGAGAGGATAGATACATGGGGAGGCAGTTAATGCACTACCTTTGAAGTTGCTAATGTGCCCCTGGTCAGACCTCCATGTAACAGGCTCCTGAGCTGAGGCAGTATAACTACATGGTAAATATATTATTATTTTCTTCAACTGGTTTCAGATTCCTTCTCTGAGGCAAAGTCTCAGGCATTGCACTTACATTAATAGCTTTCACAAATATATAACAGAACTGCTCTGTGCTTTTCTGCCAAGACCTTAAGTTCAGGATTTACACCTCATGCACATAAACCCCCTGCTGTACCCCGCTGCCTGGGGGCAGGCAGAGCCCTGGTGCTGGAACACCATCCCAGGCATCTGTCCTTATACCCTGATCTGCTGATGCCAGAAGGAATGTTTCCTGGAAATAACAGTGCCCTGCAGATACAGCCTAACGGAGCATACTGCACAAAAGTCACCAAACAGAGAAGAGGTTTATATCTTACCACTAGCTCATCTTTGACAGAGAGTGGTGTGGTTTCCAACATCTCAAAGCTCAGACAGACATCACAAGGAAAACGGGACCAGTGCCTGCATGAAGAGATGCACTGATAAGCTTTTCCAACTCACCTATCTGTGAATCATTTGCAATTTGCCCCTCCAGAGCCAACACCCAGGTACCACAGCTTGTCTGTGCCCCAGGTGGGCTCCCACATCTGCACCAGCTCAGGGTGTGTCTGCTCTCCTCTCCCAGTGCCTGGGGCAAGACCTTCCCTGAGGATATTTGATTCCCTTTTGTGTTATCCTGATTTTTGCAATTAAAAAGGTTTCTTCAAGTAGCAACTAGGATTCAGCTAGGAAAGAGCTGATTGAAAAATTAAAAGCTACCTTTGTGAAAAATGTCTGAGATCCCAAATTGCTTTGCTTTGCTATTAAGAAAATAATGAGAGTTCCAGTTGTTTATTCTTTTTTTTCCTCTCTGAAAGTATTGCCCACAATATTACTGAAACTCTTCAATTACCAGAAGTATAGCTTAAGGGAAGTGAAATTTAGTCAATATTTTTATAATGTTTTTAATGCATTTTTAATTGAAAAGCATATTATTGGAGAAAATGGATAGCAGTGGCTGCTTGCTTTAATGAAAAAAGCTTTAAAAGGCATTTTGCTGCAGATCGTTTTATAAGATAAATCCTAGTGACTCTCATTCTGGCATGTTGGGCCACTGATGTGTGCCTGGCCGTGTAGGCAGGACCCAGAGTCCCAGTGTCCATCCGCTTGGGCTCCTGCCTACAGTTCTTGTCTCTTTGTCCATGTGTGTGGTGGACAGAATCTCCCCGTTTCTGTGGAGACAAACATATCCATGGGCCAGTGTAACCCATGACAAGTTTTCTTGCTGACTCCTTCCTAGGAAGGACAGAGGACAAGCATGCTAGGGATGGGTGACTGCAAGTGCACGGTCTGACAGCATCCTCATCTTCTGCTGTGTTTCCACAGGTGTCACCACTGTGCTCACCATGACCACGCTCAGCATCAGCGCAAGAAACTCGTTACCTAAAGTGGCGTACGCGACGGCCATGGACTGGTTCATAGCCGTCTGTTATGCCTTTGTGTTTTCTGCGCTGATTGAATTTGCCACTGTCAACTACTTCACCAAGCGCAGCTGGGCTTGGGATGGCAAGAAGGTGTTGGAGGCCCAGGAGATGAAGGTGAGCCCCGTGGCCGAGGCCAGGGTGGAGTGACAGAGAAGAAACGCTGCACAAGAGAGCTGCGCTGGGACCAGGAGTGGGTAGCATGCAGCTCCATGGCACTTCAGGAGGCTGGATGCTACTTACTGGGGTCCCCAGTTCAGGCCTTGACTGGAGCGGTTCTTGAGTTGTGATGGAGGGCTGGTCATTGTGCTTAGATGGAGAAAAACACCCAGATTGAATGGCTCGCTTTTCCCTCTGTCTTTCTGCATGACCATTTGCCAGGGGAAAAGGAAATGCATGCGTGTTGTGGTCTTGCTCCACTGGTGATCTCCTTTCTCTGTCTCTCTCTATCCCGCTGTATGTTGCCTGCATGCTGCACAAACACACATATACCACAGGATACCAACCTTGCTGTGTCCCTGCAGTGGGTACCCCTCGCTGTAGGTCTCCCTCCACATGGACAAGCATGGTGCAGCAGTGGGAAGCTCCTAGTACTCATGTTATTGACCACAGCTGTTGCTTTGTAAGCTTGGGCAAAGAGGGTGGGTGGGAAGCAAGCAATCGGAAACAGCTACTGGCTGCAAATTAGTGCCTGGCATCACCCACGTTTTCCCTTCAGCCTCTCTGGTAGCATCCTTCCTGACAGCCATCACCATTCCTGCTCAATCCCCCTCCCTCCTCACTGACTTAATCTCAGCTGTGCAGAGAAATCGCTTACTGTAGCATGCTGCTCCTTGCTTGTATTTATTGAATCAATTTGAAAATCATATTTGTCCTTGTTCTTGGTTCTGGAGCCTCTATATTTTTCTCCTTTGCATTTTAATGTGTTGTTTATAATTGTGAAGCTCTACCTGGCAGAATTGCATTAACTTTTAGGAGGACAACAGTCAGTCTTCTCGCTGGTATGGAGGTCCCAGCAAGAGGACAGAGGCCTTATGGAGAACCACAGCCATCACTGGGTGCTGAATGCCTTTGTCTTGTATTTCTTGGACTGTCCATCTGCTTATGCTGCTGTGGTCTGAGCACCAGACTCATGGCAGAAAGGCTCCAGAGGAGGCCTGCTGGTGGTCTTCCACCTCCATCACATACAATAACTGGGTCTCTAGAGATGGGAGGAACTTTTGTCAGAGATAAGAGGAACTTTTCTGGGGTCATTGGCATGCGCAAAGAATCAAGCAGGTTCTCAAAGCAGCTGTGCCCCTTTCAGTGCAAAGTCAGGATTCACACAGATGTGGGCAATTTGTGTTGAGCACAGTCAAAAAAGCAGCAAGGGCTCCAAAGGTTTTGATTCATCATAAAAGTGGCACTCTCCTCAATTTATTTATTGACCTGACACTGTCAAAGTAATCATGCTGAAACAATAGGGTAAAAGTGTTTGCACATATGGTAATTGAACAAGAAAACAATGCAGGACCAGAAATGTTTCAGAGGGAGCACTCCTTGTGAGAGTTTGCTGTCAGATGAAGAATCAGGAAGGACTCCAAATCTATAGGTGCTTTTTCAAGCCAACCCTGTTCCTTACCTGATCCAAAGTCAGACAGCTCACCCTCTCCTGGTCTCTGCAGCTCAGAAGCTCCGACTGCCCCATTCTCTCCATCACAATTTTATATGTGCTACAAATAGTCACATCTGACAGCACTCCTTGAAGGAGAATTCCCTGACCAGCTGTGGACTTTCAGAGAGCTTGTGAATATGATGCGTCACCATATTTGCTTTCATCTTTATTCTACTGAATATTTCCAAGCAGTGAATTTGCTACAGACTTGTTGGCCCAGCTCCAGCCTTTAATTAGCTCTTCTTGAAACAATTGACAAGCCAGGTGGTTGAAACCACAAAAGAAAGAGGAGGCAAAAAAAAAAACTATTGGCGTTTTTAAGCATTGGTACGAGGAGTAAAACTGCCAGTGACAAGCCCACGCTGAGCTCTGGTCTCTGGAGAGCCTTCCCCCAGCCAAAGAAAGTGTTCTTCATTGATGGGATAGCAAGGATCCTCACTCAGTCCAGGTTTGATTGTTTCCTTGCGTGGATGCGAGCAAAATCAATAGGTGTCAGCCCTGCTCTCACCTCAAATGCAGGCACAGCAGCAATGCTTCTCTTCTGATTTAAAATAAATCAGTGCCTTGCAAAAGCTGCTGGTTGCTGACAGGTGCTCCAGAACTTCCAGTTTCTCAGGGCTCATCCTGTTCTTTCTTTCTCTTCTTTGTCCATTCCATCAATTTAGAGGGAGAATTCTGTGGGGAAAAGCAGGTTTTGGGGTGTATAATATAAATGGTGGGCTGATCTTGGTGAGTCACTGATCTCTACATCATAAATGATCATGCTGTGGCTACAACCACAGTTGGGTTTTGATTCTGGCTGGGAGCTACTCTGCACATACTCTGCAGCCCTTCTCTCATGCAAATCAGACAGATATCACCATTGATCTCACAAAAAATTTCTTTTAATGCACACTTTAATACGATTTGACTAATACTTCTTAGGCCCAAATATTTTCCAAGCTTTTCCTGTCCTCTACTACTACTTTTTCATTGTAGATGATTCTGTATTTTTGTGTGCATAGCAGCTTCAACCAACCTAGAGGTGCCAATTGAACTGGAAGGAGTATCTGAATCCAATGCAGAAAACTTCTTTATTAGGGATGAATTTTAAGAAAACATCACCGGGAAGAAGATAGAAAACGATAGTAGTTGGGGAGAAGTGAAAGGCCAAAGAGATTGGCTCCAGTAGTCAGTGAAACTCCCTATTTCCAGCATCCGTAAAGAATCTTGCTAAAAGGACCCACTTCAGGACAGAGGGACTGTGTATGAGGCCCTGCTGCACTGCATCCATCTCAGCCATGGGGGTGGCTGTCGTTGGAGCCAACAAGGTCTCAGGAAGCTGAGAGAGGCAACCCTTAATGGTGATTTCTCCATTGGAAACTCATATACGCTGTCATCTCTCCCTCATGTTGGAGCATACTGGGAAGACAGTAACCTAAACCTCTTTCCACTGGCATGTCACAGCTGTGCATAAAGTCCATTTTAGCTCTGTATCTGTGCAATGCTCTGCAGTGATGCTTGGTGGAAAGATGCAATAAAAACAATTCAATTAGCTGCACTCAGACACGTGACAAGTAAGAATACACTTCAAATGGAGTGAAGCAAAGCTTTTTGTCCAACCTACCCTTTAGCAATTCTAAGTCTGCCCCTTGACCATGGTCGTCTGAGAATCATTAGTTTTTCCCCTTTGTTTCTTTTTACCCATAGCATCTTTGTTTCAGTTCCCTCCTTCCAATAGAGGAAGAATAAAATTTCATAGGCCTCCATCTTCAACCAATTTACAGACTCACAGAGTGGTTCAGACCCATCTCTCTTTTTTTTTTTCTGCTTAGTTATGATAAATATGTTTTCGATGGGACTTTTTCCTTTTCACTGCAGCCCATGTCTCCTTCTTTGTCCTACATTCCACACGTGTCCACATGTCCACACGTGACCTGTGGCTCCCCATAGCACTGCAGGTGATTCATGTTTTCAGTATCTTCATTAGACTCCACACATCATTCTTCCACACAATTTCACCCTCTTTCTCTCAACACTATCCACGTGGCATTTTGGGCTGACCAAACTTCTGAGCCTTTGTCTGCAGATCCAGAGATCATAAAATCATCAGTCAGTCACATGTAATCAGAATGAAGGCGAGATGGGAGAGATGAGTGATGCACCACAGTTACTGTGTTCAGTTTTAGGTTCAGTTTCTCTCATTACAAGAAAGACACTGAGTTGCTGAAATGCATTCAGAGAAGAGCAGTGAAGCTGCTGACGGGACTGGAAGACAAAATGTTTGAGAAATGGCTGAAGGAACTGGGGTCGTTTAGTCTGCAGAAAGAGGTTGAGAGGAATCCTCGCTGCTTTTTCTAATTAGCTGAGAGGAGGTTGTAGTGAGATGAGTGTCGATCTCTTTTTCTCAGGTGACAAGTGCTAGAATGCAAGGAAACATCCTCTAGTTGCACCAGGGGAAGTTTAGATTGCATGTCAGGAAGCATTTCTTAAGGGAAAGGATGGTTAGACATAAAATAGGCTGCCCAGGGCTGTGGTGGAGTCGCCATCACTGAATGTATTTAGGAGATGTGTGGATGTGGTGCTTAGGGACATGGCTCAGCTGTGGACTCGTAGTGGAAGTCTGATGGTTAGAGTTGATGATTGTAAGGGTATTTTCCAGTGTAAATGATTTTGTGATGCCAGGGGTCACACCAGCAGGTGACAGTATCCTGACTTCAACATAGACTGCTTGTTAGTGCAATATTACATTGCCACAAGCCCTTATCTCTTCTCAGTCTGTGGACATCTCAATGTAAAACACCTCATTCCTCAGACACAATCAAGGTTCTGGCACACTCCAGAGGGGAGCTATGGCTGGCATGAGGGAGAGGTGCCGTGTTTGCTGGAACATCAGTTGCAGTTATAGAGTACAAATATGCTCCAGACTGGGGCTACTTGGAGGCATTAAGATGACTTTTCTCTGCAATAGCAGGAGGCAAATACATTGCATTTCTCCAGTAAAATCCGTGACCCAGAGGCGATGGTGACTCTCAGTGTCCCATCAGGGTAAGAATGCTTCCAACCCAACCTTCTAAGCAGGGAGCAGCTGCAGAGAGCTAAGTCTCCAACAGGTCATCAGCAGAACCAGTAATTCCCACAGTTGCAGGGCTTTATCCTTTAGCTCCTCAATAGAGGGCCTGGGAGACAAGAATATTTGACAGCTGCCATTGTAATCCGGCGTGTGTATTTGTGGAAGAACTTGTCAGACTACAGTATCCAGGGAACATGTTTATCTTTAGACCAGGTTTCACAGCTTTTCCCTCAAGACGGCAGCTCAGACTTGGTCTCCCAGAGCCCAAACTGGGCCACAGAATCAGTAAAAGCTTTTCAGCATAGATGTGTTAACTAGGACAAGTTTTCAAATGCAAATGTGGGGTTTCCTCCTGTTTTTCTATTCTTCTTCTGTTCCAGTCTGACATGAAACTCCTTGCAGATAAGTATGCAGGGGGAAAGCGGAGGGCTACTTTGCAGCTGATAAGCACATTTTGCTTTGTTTAATTATCAAAATCTTGCCTGAAACACTTATCTACAAAATGCAATTTAGTGACTTCAGGCTGAACCATTCCTTCCAATATCTCAGGAGCCTGTTTTCTCACATGTGTGCCTTGATGGGAAGCTGGTACCCTGGAGGTTTAGCAAAGGCTCCCAGCTCTGTCCAGGGCAGAAGATAGCTGTGGACATCTGGAAAAAGTCACTCTAAAAGTTCTGGAGCAGAAAAGCTAGCCAAGGCTGAGAATGTCATGTCACTTACAGACATCTTATTCATGTAATGTGGCTGATTAGTACTCAAATAATCACAGTGCACTTCAAATTACATTCTGCAAACAAGTGTTTTTCATTTCATTACTGATTATTAATTATTGTATTGCCTCCAGTAGCTATGTTATTAACTAATCGTACTAAAACATATTTGAATGCTTTAGAAAGTAGAGCACCTTTTGTCCTTCATTTGCTTCTTGTCAGCTCTTTAGCAGGAAAAGTTCACCTCCTGTATAGAGGGTAAAGGCTGACATGGTTCCAACAATTGCGGGGATCAGTCACTCAATTAATCATTAAAGATCATAACAACCTCTTCCACATTATCCATAAAGGAGTATGAATACGGTCTGATCAGTGGTTTAGTCTGATCTGGACACTAAAGACCTCATTCTAACAGCAGGTTAATTTCTGTAATTGCTGTAATTACTGTGAGGCTGCAGTCCGAGCTACGGTGTTATTGGAGAGGGATTTAAAGATTGCACAGAAGTCTGCTTTTTCTAAGATAACCAGAAATATTCCTGGTGGCTGTGGATGCTTTTACAATAGAACTGCAGCCTGAAAGCTAAAACCCTTGGAGCATCTCTACAGGACGGATGGTCAATCTGCCTTTCCAGTTCCCTGTGCTACCCAGAGGTACTGCCTGCTACTGGTTCCCAGGCGGGGAGGCTGAGATGAACATGTCCTGCTGGCTGTTTGCTCTCCCCTTCTCCTGGCTGTCACGTTGCACGTGGCTCCCATGTGCTTACATGCAAGACTGTTCCAAGCAATTCTAGGGAATGGTTGGATGAGCCTAATCTTGTGTTCCAGTTGTTTTTGAATAGAAGATGAGATCCAAAATCACACTTTATTCTGAGTTTACATTTTAGATTCCCACTCTGATTCATTGCTGTGTCTAGCTCTGACTCTGGGTGTCATTACAGTGGACACCATATGGATGCACAGAGGTGCTGGGATGCGTAGGATGTCTGATGTCTGCACATGAACAGATTTCATTCAGTGGGCTTTTCCCAATAGATTTGAATTGTCTCATACACTATAGCCTATAGTGCATCTGGTCCCAAGTCCCTGACAGTAACAGAAAGATCTCCAGAGTAGGGGAAACATCCATCATTATTTCTAGCTCTATCTTCCTGTCCACTCATCTTCACTAACATTGGAATTTTCTGCCTTAAGCATTCTCCTTCGTCCTTCAACACGTTACATCAAACACGTAAGTGCATCCTTTCCATTTCTTATAGAAGCTCTCCACTCTTCAGCACAGACAGCATTGATGTCCCTGCAGCCCGTGGCAGGGCTGTATTTATCTGCCTTGATTTGCAGCAATCCTTAGATATGAAGGCAAGATGAAAGGTTTCTCTCCACTCCTATAGCATCTGAAATCCTCAAATCCAGGGCTATGGCAAACGCTTCCTGTTGGCTCTATATCGTACTTAGGAGGCCATGTAATGCCTTAAGGAATCCCAGAGGCATTTTGGACATCATGATGTCCTTGTGAAATACGCAGGCCACCAAGGCAGTGTAAGATAGGGCCTTCTAGGATCATGGTTCAAAAATACTGCAGAGCAGTCAGACACATTATTAAGGCCACTGGCTTTCTGCTTAAAACAAAACAAAACAAAACAACAACAAAACAAAAAAACCATAATTGTCAATGGATGTTTCTTTTTCTCACCTGATTTGGGAAACAGACTGGCAAAGCAGAAAATCAAGTTATTCTCCTAGGATGACCACAGTGGTTCTCATTCCTTTCTAAAGAGTGCATTCCTGATTCATCTCTCCATGGCTGAACCTTACATGCAACAGAAAACAGAACCCAACTGAGGTAGAAATCAAGGAGTTTGTATATAGTTTAAGCTTGCCTTCACTTCTACTGACCTGGCAATATGCAATATAGACTTGGCAGCACTCAGTCAACCAAAGCAAAGGATCACCCATCTTGGGCAGATCTTGCTGAAGTGCAGCTGCACACAACTTCACATATCAGAGCCCAGATGTAAGGAACTGCAAGGAGGCCACAAACATAGCTGTGTGGCTACAGTTATAGGACCTGAAACCAGACCTAGCACCTAGCTGCTAGGCCAGGACCTCTTTGCACTCCATGCTTCATGCCAGGCTTACACAGAACAGGTGATGTAATTGAAGGAGATGTGGTCCAGCACATCCCTCTGCTCCAGCAGCCCTTGTGGCAGATGTCACAAGTTCTGGTCACCTTCTCACCACATTCTCCTTCCTTCCACAATGCTGCCTTCTCAGTCTCTTGCTCCTTGCATCCTTTCCCACCTTCTCAACCAGTCAGGCAAGTGAACTCAGAGGACAAAATGTTCTCTGTGCAATTCTACAGTCACTTCATCTCTGTTATGTTCTTCTTCCACCTTCCCTAGAAAAAAGAGCCAGTGGCACTAGCGAAGAAAACCAACAACACCTACAACATAGTTGGCACCACATATCCCCTCAACATTGCCAAGGACCCTGGCCTGCCCACCATCTCCAAGAGTGCTGCTGCCACTGCTACTGCCACCAACGTACCCCCCAAGATGCCCCGCTTAGAGGAGAAGTTCCCAGAGAGTAAGAAGACGTACAACAGCGTCAGCAAGGTAGACAAGATGTCCCGCATCGTCTTTCCAGTCCTCTTTGCCATTTTCAACTTGGTCTACTGGGCCACCTACGTAAACCGGGAGTCAGCTATCAAAGGAATGATCCCCAAACAATAAAACGAATCAAACAAACCTTCCATCAGTGAGCACCATCCAGGCAGGAATTCTCCAGGGCTTTCTTCTTTTCCTGTTTTGTTTAATTATTATTGTTCATTTGAAATTAATACTATTATTACTATTAGACCGTTCTTTTATAATGTAAACAAAACTGTGATTTTAATTTAATCCTGTATATGTCTATTTTTGTTTTACTTTGATGATAAAAGGAAAGGAAAAGGATCATAACAAGTTGTGCCTCTGACATCGTGAGTCTGATGTCCCCCATCTGTCCAAGTCACCCTGCGCTTCCATCTCTCCCACTTCCTGCCATCTGCATGATCTGTACAACACTGCCATCCCATGCTCCACTCCACTGGGGGCTGCTA